CCTGGGTGTAGTAGCAGCTACACTTGGTAGTACCAGTGTAGGATGGGGGAGTCAGCTAAGACAGGGTTTGTGCAATGAGAAAGACATTAATAAGCTGGAGAGTATCCACATAGGATGGACAGGATGGTAAAGAGGATAAAATTCATGCCATCTGAGGATGAAGAAAACTATGGGGTCTTAGTTATTCAGTCAATAAACATTTATAAAGTACCTACTAAGTGCCAGACACTTAGGAAGAAAGAGAAAAGCCAAAGACAATCCCTTTTCTCAAGGACCTCACAGTGGAATAGGGAAGGCAATACTGTTTCTGTACAAACAAACCCTATACAGGTTAAATTGGAAAGAGTTAAGGAGGTTCCTGAAAGGCTTCTTGTAGAAGGTGGGATTCTAAGTGGGACCTGAAAGAAGTCAGGGAAAGCAGGAGGCAGAGGTGAGGAGGGATTGCAGGGAAGAGGGACAGCCAGTGAAAATGGCCAGTTGGGAGATGGAGGGTATTGTGCAAAGACCAGCAAGGGGGAGGGTGTCACTGGATCACAGATTATCTGGAGGGAGAGTGTAGGGTGCAGGAAGAATGCAGAGATGGGGGCAGGTTGTGATGGGCTTTGAATGCCAAACAGAGGATTTTATATTTGATTTTATTTAATATTTATATTTATATGTCTGCCCTGAGTCTTCTCCAGAATAATCACCTGCAGTTTCTTCAGGTGTATACATATTGGGTGGGCCCTTGTCAAAAGGATTAGACAGAGGTCAGGGATCAGAGTAATGGGTGCATCTTGCAAAAAGAGAGATTCAGACTTGATGTCAGAAACACCCAGCCCAGGTTGATTAGAAGAATTCCAAAGTCAACTGAAGCATGGGCTACCTGCCCTCCCTCCCTCAGATTGCCTTGGTTCTTGAGCTAGTCTGGCTTGCCTGCCCTGTGAGTGGCTATGTGTTGGCAGTTTAGTGGAGGTGGCTGGCCCCTTCTCTGCAGCGGTGGCTTCCTCCACTGATGGCTGTGAGAGATGGGCAGGAAGCAGGCTGGCTGTTCTGGAGAATGCTGCCACTCCAAGGCCTCTTGTGTGTTTTTGTGTGTATTGGTGACAGTTGGTTAGCAGTTGGTGCTGGCGGTGATGAGGAACGTGGGCTCTGTCTCTTCCATGATTTCTCCCCTCCGTGGTGCCTGTGGGGGCTGGGCTGGAAGTAGTTCTGGTAACTTTGGGGCGAGGCCATTCTTTCCAACGCTCTGGGTTTTGGGGCATGGGTCTGTCTCCATTTGAACCTGTGGGAAGATGCTGGAGAAGGTGGTGGTGATGTATTGACTTGTCTAGCACCTGTTGCCCTCCATCTCTCCTTCAGTTTCCTTAGAAAGGTTATGGTCACCACTGTCTAAAACAGGTGACAGACCTCCTCAAGCAGTCAGAGCATGACCTGAAGGACAATTACCAGGCACTATTCCTATAATCTACAAAACAGTCACAGAGAGGGTTGCCATGGCAACTCCATCTTCTCAAGTTGCCATCCCACTTGCCTTGTCATGATGTTTTTGACATTTCCTTTAGATCCTTTCTAGAGAACAATTGGTAGAGCTCTTGATTGCTTTGAGCTAACACAGCATAGAAATGCAACAATGATATAGTGACACAGCTTCTCTGGACACAGCCCCTCTCATCTCCACATAAACATATCTGATTATCAAGAGCAGGCTTGCTCTTCTCAGGAAGAGAATGTGGACTTGAGTGGTCTTCAGACATCCATCAAGTTACAGAGGTCCTGACTGCCCATTGGTGGGACTTTATGCCCTTGGCGGGCCGGGAAGATACATCAGGGGAAACAGTGGCCAATCAGGTTCTATTCGATTAATAGACATTTTTAAGCTGCTTCCTTTGTGCCAGGCTCTGTGCTACGCTGGAAATATGAAGACCTGTAAGACAGTCCCTTCCCTCTCAAGGAGCTCACAGACTAATGGGGGAGTCAACAGTCAAACAGGTATGAAGAAACAAGCCATATATAGGAAACACTGGAAATAATTAATATAAGGAAGGTGCTAGAAATCTGCAGGAAAGGGAAAAGCTTCCTATGGATGGTGGGATTTTAGCTGAGACTTGAAGAAAGCCAGAGAAGTCAGATAGCAGAGATGAGGAGGGAGAGTGTTCCAGGTGTGGGGGACAGACATTGAAAGAAAATGCCCAGAATTGAGAAATGGAGGATCTTGTGCTAGGAACAGCAAGGAAGCCAATGTTTCTGGTATGAAGAGTAAACCCTAGGGGTGAGGGGGATGCTGGGGGAGTGTGTAAGTGTAAGGTCCAGAATTCCTCTGGCTGAGGAACTCTGTACCTTTCCAAGGGAATATCCCTGTGCACTGAGGTATTCTCTGTTCCCCAATCAGAGGACTTAATTTTATTCTGAAGAAAGAGGCTAGAGATTCAGATTGATTATAAGAAGTATTAGTTTAACCAATAGAATCACTTATGTAAAAGGGTCAGTCTGAAGTGGCTCCCAGTTGAAAACGGTCTCAATAGTGGATCAATTCCCACTTCAAGACCCCAGAAAAACCCAGTGGTAATTATAGAAAACATACAAAAGAAGGAGGAGTGATAGAGTACATTGTTAATAACTGGTGGATACTTTGGGTTTCTGCTTAGTAATGAGCTTGGGCATTAAGTCAATGTTACTGGATAAAATGCCCAAACATGGGTTCGTGTACTGATTGTGTGTGGGCCATAAACCTGTCACTGGGTCCATGTTATGATTTTCATCAGCCACAGTATCTAAGCTATGACTCAGTGAAGGAATTATGATTTTTAACAGGTCACCCTGTCCGGGATTCCACCTTTCACAGAGTTTAAGTTTATATCTTTCATTTGTTACTGTTTTGTTTATGGCTTTTCCCCAATTGGGACCCCATAGTATGGTATATGGTGGAAGGAAACTGGAAAAGCGAGGGTGGGTAGTTTATGAAAAGCTTTGAATGCCAGAGAGGATTTTCTACTGGATCCTGAATCAATAAGGAGCCACTGGATAAGATTGAGTAGAAAAGCAGAGGTGGGAGGAAGGGCACATAGTCAGACTTGTGCTTTAGGAAGATGATTTTAAGAGCTGAGTTTAGGATAGACTGGAATGGGGATGTCCTGTGGGCAGAGACCTCAGTCATAAGGCTGTTTCAATAGTCCATTGTGTGAATCAAGGAAGGCCTGCACCAAGGTGGTGGCACTGCCAGAGGAGATAAGGGACATATATGAGAGTTGTTTCAAAGGTAAAATTGATAGGTCTTGGCAACATGCTGGTTTGTGGGGTGGTTAAGAAGGTCAAGAGTTAAGGATGACACTTAGGTACCAGGCCTGGGTGCCTGGGAGGATGGTGGTACCTTCAACAGTAATGAGGAATTTTGAAAGGGAAGAGTGTTGAGGGAAGGAGGATAGAAAGAGTTCAATTTTGGACACAATGAATTTAAGATGTCTACAGGACATCTAGTTGGATACATCCAATAGGCAACTTGGAGATCCAAGGCTGGAGGTCAACAGAGAGGATCAGATTGGACACATAAATGTGAAAATTATCTGCATAGAGATGTTAATTGAATTCACGGGAACTAATGAGAGCACCAAGTGAAAAAGTATTGAGATAGAAGGGAAGGCAGCTCAGGACAGAGCCCAGTGGGACACTCATGGTTACCAGGCATAACCTGGATGAAGATCCAGCTAAGGACACTGAGAAGGTGTGGCCATAGTGAGGTGCTCAGGGGCAGGGACTGTCTTTTACATTTCTTTGTATTTCTAGTACAATGCTTGGCCCATCATAGGCACTTAATGAATGTTTATTAATTGATTAAAAGGAGATCCTGGAGAGAATAATGCCACAGAAACTTAGACAAAAGTATCAAAAGAAGGGTGAACAACAAAGCAAAGTGATCAGGAAAGGTGAAGATTAAGAAAAGGACTTTAGATTAGGCATCTCAGAGATGGTTAGCAACATTAGTGAGAGACATGTCAGCTGAATGATGAGGGCAGAAGGTAGACTGCAGAAGAGTTAAGAAGAAAGAGGAAAGCAAATAGAGGAGACTATTGTAAATGGCTTGTTCAAGGAGTTTAGCCACAAAAGGGAGGCGATATATGGGGTGATAATTAGAGGGGATGCATAGATCCAGGGGAAGACTTTTTAAGGGCAGGGGAGACACAGACATGCTTGCAGGCAGGGGGAAAGCAGCGAGTACACAGGGAGATATTGAAGATAAGGGAGAGAATGGGAATGATAGAGAGAGCAGTTTGCTGGAGGAAATGGGCTGGAAGGGGACCCCTCGTGCAGGTAGACAGGGGTTTGGCTTACTAAGAAGTAAGCACATCTCTATGTGTGAGACAGGGGTGCAGGGGGAGACAGTGGCAGAAGGCATCTGAGTGATGTGAGAGGAAGAGGAGGGGCGAAGAAGGAGCTCTCAGGGAATGACCTCAGTATTCTCAGTACAGTATGAGGCAGGGTTCTCAGCTGAGAGGCTGGGTGGGTGTGGGAAGGAGCCATGGGAGGCGTGAGGAGGGATGACAATTTTCTGAAGAGCCAATGTGGTGAGAGGGATAATGAGTTCATTAGAGAAGTAAAAGATTGCCTTGGGGCTGCAGGGCTTTGTCATCTTGTGGGGAAAACTAAATGCTGTTTTACTAGGGAAGGAAGAGGCATGGATCAAACCCATGTCCAGGAGAAATTCTGGGAGACATTAGTCCTACCACACAGGACTTGGAATTGAAATTTCAAAATGCCTTGGTGAATTTGACACTGGCCCTTTATCAATTCACTGTCAATAGTTTTCAGATTGGGAAAAGGGAATGAAATGGCATCGTGGGCCATGCTTTTCATTATTCTCTTAACACAGCATTTGGTAGTGGAATTTGCAGGGGTGCACACATCGATAATTCCTGGAGGAGGCGCGCCTGAGATCCCACAAAAACACAACAGTGACTGCCCCGGATGTGAAATCACGGGCGCCCCGCCCCCTTCCCACACTGCACCTGCCGGGGTCACCAGCCTCTGTTTCTGAGGCTTGGTGAGTCACTGAACCGTCTTCCGCCCCTTCCTCAGCCAGACCCGCCTGAGAGAAACTGGGGCGTCTGCCCTGGCTGACTGAGCCTAGGCCGTGCCTGGGGACTGAGGGAAACAGGGCCTTGCCCCTCTCTGGCCCAGCCAGGGGTCGCAAGGGGAGCCCCCGTCCCCGAAGAGGCCACAGGGTCCCCCCTCTTCTGCATCCTGGGGTTAGACCTGGTCATCTCAATGGTTACCACTTGTGTTCCAGTAGCTGAGGTAAGCCCCACCTCTAGGTGTGACATCACAGCAGGGTTAGTGGAATCCCCGCCCAGCTATGGAGGGGCAGGTTCAGTTGGGGGGGGCGGGGTAGGGCTGTTGCTGGAGGTCCTCACCAGCCGCTCCCCCTCCCCTGTACCCCACTTTATTCCTGGGCCCCTCAGACTTTTCCCCCTCATCCCTAGGTCAGCCTCCCTGACCAGGCCTGGGTGTGGGGGGTGGGGCCGCCGAGAGCCCTTGTGGGGTCCCCCCACCTCTTCCCCCTTCTCAGGTGTCCGCAGCTGAGTCCAGAAGGGGGGGTCTAGCGGTTCTCTCGGTCCCTCCTGTCCTGGGGGTACAGAGCGCACTGGGGAGCGGAGCGGGGGCCCCCCCCCATCCCTCGTTTCCCGACTGTCCCTGTCGTGCGGCTGTTTTTATCCCCGCCTCCAAGGGCGCCCCGCTTCCCAGGACGTCGTCGGGCAGACCCCGTCTCATTCCCCCTCTTCTCCTCATTTTCCCCTCCCCCACCCCATCTCCCCGACCCCCCGAGAAAAACAATCCCCTGTTAAACAAGGAGGCGTCCTCAGCTCCCCCTGGTCCGATCCTGCCAATGCCCTGTCTCCTTCCCATCCCAAGTCCGTCCCCTCACTGTCCCCGGGGAGGGCATGGCCTTCATGGGCCCCTGCAGGGACCCGGCCTGAAGTCTGTCAGCGGGGCACAGACCCGCCCTTTTAGGGGCCCCTGCCTCTCCCTGGGGTCCCCTCTCTCAGGGACCTGGGTGCGGGAAGAATGTGTCTTTGTGGGGGCTGGGTTTGTACCCCCCCATCTCAGACCCCTGAAAGGGACAAGGGACAGTTCCCACCTAGGACTGTCACCCATGTACCTGGCTCCTGCAGACAGATGTTTACAATGTTTTAGGAAATTCAGTTTAAATGTCTATAATCAGAACAATAACAGAAGCCTGACAATAAGTACCCAGGGTCCAGAAAGACAGATTCTGCTATGGATGAAATCTAGATGTGCATTTCTTTCTGGATTTTAATCTATAGACTCTGTCACAGGAGCCGTGGGTGGCTGACATGATTCATCTTCAGTCCTCTGAACTTCAGATTTATCATTGCAGCTCCTCCTCCTCGTCCTCCTCCTCCTCCTCCTGTTCCTCACCATCACCACCATCATCCTCCTCCTCCCCCTGCTCCTGCCGCTGCTGCCTCTCCCTTGGAGGGGACCATCCTGGTGCCGCTTTTGTAAAGCAGTGGCTGAGGAGACCCCGGGACTCACCATGGACAATGAAAAGCCAGAGGAAGGCTTGGAGACTGAAAACAAGGGCCGCATTATTTTGAAGGTGGCAGGGCAAGATGGTTCGGTGGTGCCGTTTAAGATTAAGAAGTACACATCCCTTGGTAAACTAATGAAAGCCTATTGTCAACGACAGGGTTTGTCAATGGGGCAGATCAGGTTCCGATTTGATGGCCAACCAGTCAATACGACAGACACACCTGAAAAGTTGGAAATGGAGGATGAAGATATAATTGATGTATTCCAGCAGCAGACAGGAGGCCCTTACTAGAAAGAGAACATGCAACTCTGCTCCAGAACTGTGCTCCCAAGGAAAACAATACATTCACAATTAGAAAACCAAGATTTGGTTCATCCACATCCTGACTACTGCAGTATAGTTTTCTGTCTTCTTTGATTCCCTTTCCCCCATTCCTTTATTGTACATAAAGTAACTGGTGTATGTGCACAGGCATAATGCCTATTTTTTTTTAACTAAATGGCCGATGGTATGTTATGATCAACATCAAATGGAGATGGGGAGGGGAAAAAACAAACTGCTTCTGTGAAAATATCCCTTTTCTCCATTAGTGGCATGCTTATTCAACTTTTATCTTTATATTCCAGTAAGTTAATTTTGCTCTCACGGTTTAACAACAACAACACAAAAAAAAGCCCACAAAAAAATCCTTGCATATCTTGTTTGATTGGATAGTTTCAATGTTTTTCTGTTATCATTGTAAAACCAAGGACGATTTTGTGACTTTTTTGTACGTAGCTGTTACATGTAGGGCAATCTCTGTGTCTCAGTAGGGATAAATTACTATAAAAAAATTGATCCTAGATAGTTTTCCCTTCAAGTCAAACATCTTGTTGTTGAAATAAACTTCTTGTTTAAAATAAAAAAATAAAGATTTATCATTGCATTAATTAGAATTCCAATAACTTTCAAAATCTTTTTTTTTCCTATTAATGTTGTTGTGTAAATTATTCTGGTTCTGCTCACTTCACTCTTCATCACAATATAGTTGTCTGCCCATTTTCCTTTGGAACTGTCCGTTTTGTCATGTTGCCTGGCAAAATAATATTCCATGATATTCTTTTGCAACAGTTTGTTTATACCTCCTCTATTAGGTGGCCACCTCCTTAATGTCTAGTTTGAGACTACTCTGAAAAGAGGTGCTCTAAATAATTTGCTTATATGAGGACTCCTTTTGCAATAGACCTAGTGTTGGTATTGTTGGTTCAAAATAAACTCACGTTTTAGTGTTTTGGGGGCATAGTTCTAACTTGCTTTGCAGACTTGCAAGAACAATTCACATCTCCATTAATGATACGTTTATATGCCTGTTTTCCCCTAATTCTTCAGACCTTTTGTTTCTTCTTTGTTTATGCTTATTCCCTCATTTGGGCTTTCTTATCTGATTGCTATTGCTAGCATTTCTAGGAGTATATTGAACAGGACAGATGTTTCTGGTGTATAAATCCATATCCACACATCCCTCTTTTTTTCTACCAACACATGAGAAAATGAGAGTAGCACCTTCTTTATGGCCAGCCCCTCAAATACAGGGGCTCCAACAGCAACTAAGATGCCCTAAACCCTCACAGTCACTTTATTACAGTCACTCATATCGGGAAAGTGTCCATAGTATTTTCTCTCCCCAGAATCATTCATTTTTCTCTGAGCACCTGAGATGCAACCAGGAGAAGCACAGGGAGCAGGGAACTAGTTAGGAAATTACTCTGTCCTTGTTCATGCACCCTCAGAGGTGAGTGGACCAATATGGTGGTAAGATGCAGGGTGTGAGAGAGAGGTTCCTGAGAAGATAGTGGCTCAGGGGACAGACAATGTACTATAGCTAATGGAAGAAAGAAGGGAGATATCCAGATTAGTGGGACAGGAGGCCACTGGACCCTGACCATCAAAGACTGATCAGGAATTGGGGCAGGGGAGAAGGAGATTCTCATGAATTAATTATCCATTTGCTTAACTGATCAATTATGTTGAATGATTAATAATGCCTGCCTCCTCTTTCTCTTGATGGTTTTCCTTGATTTACCTGATTTGTGACCTGTCCCAGTTTTGTTTTTTTCCTTCATTATCCAAAAGGAACAATGACCTCAGGAGGGTGATGTCTTGACTTGCAAGTGAACTGAATTTAAGTGAGGCAGGGCTGTGCAAAGTCACCAGCCTCACTCTCTCCTCCAGGGTCATCAGAGTCTAGTGACAAGATGACTGTCACTAGTGTCAGGATGACTGGAGATGGCCCCAGATGCCATGGGAGCCCTGTCCCATTAGCTCACCACTGGCAATTGCCCCTCACTTTACCAAGCGATTAGTATTGAGGATATGACTACTCCTGGGGCATCCTTGGTCTGAGTGCTCCAGGGGGCTCTACCACAAAAGCAGAATACACCGGTGAGACTGACCCAGGAGGTTACCTCAGCAGGGAATCTCGCTCATCACCTAGCGGGAGTCAGCTCTGTTGGTGCCTGGCTGCACTCACTTTGTCCCTGTTCAACACCGGGAACGACTGAAAACAACCAAAAGATACGACTCTCCCTCCTCTCAGACTAGAGAAAGACTGGCGATGGTTGGCTGTTGCGGGTCACGTGACAAACAGGAGAGAGGGCACAGTGGCAACCCTCCCGTCATGTTACATAATAGGCACAATAGTGTCTCGTGGGAGGTGGATTAAGCAGGGCACAGACAAAGCACTCCTTAAATCTTTACTTTCTTTCACATCCTCTACATTTTTCAAGGCTGCCTGAAATCCTTTGGTCAGCCACAAGTGGCCCAAGGGCCATAAGTTGTGAAGGCCTGGTTTAGGACAAGGAAAAATAATTCAGATGTCATCATTTAATGACATCAAATAATATCATCATTTCATGGTTACTTTCAGGCTGTTGTCTTCTGTCCAGCTTCGAATTTTACACTCAGATGAATTCAAGAATCTACTGTTATTGGATATTAACTGGTGGGACAGTTTACTTCTGGTTAAGAGGAAAAGAATGGAGCTAAATGAACTCCTCAATTTATGACAGGACGTGAGTAATGAATTCCTTCAGTTCAAATAGGAATTCAGGACAAAAAAAATATCAAAATTACCTATGAAACCCTTCATTGTAGCAAAGGTCATCTGACATAGGAAAAGAATTCATAGCAGTGGAAACATCACTGAGTTGGTTTCACCCTTCAGTGTACCAGTTAATTGGATAAGACCTTGATATTGCCCACTCACAAGAGCAATATTCAGAGAAAAGAAACAGAAAAATATGGGTTATATTAGTTTTGAAAGAAATTTATGAAAGAAATACCACAAGTTTGAGTGACATTTGACCATTGTGCAATCAGGCATGCAGGTAAACATTTACCCAGGTGTGCAGGGCTAGTAAAAACAAAAACCAAAGAGCCTGGGAGTATAGAAACTCAGAAAGTAAGTGAGGCTACAACTGTATTTATTGTCCTCAGTGGTAGGACTTAGGGTCCAGTCCAGCTCCTCTACTCCTGAATAGTGAATGATGTTCAACATCTATCTCCCACTGTTCTACTCCATCTGAGCAAAGCCATCTCTCTCTCTCTGTCTCTGTCTCTCTCACTGTCTCTATGTATGTATGTATATATGTACATATGTATATATATGTATATATATATATGTATATGTGTATATATATATCTGTGTCTCTCTCTGTGTGTCTGTCTCTCCATCTGGCTCTGTCTCTCTTTCTCCTTTCAGGCACTCCAAGCTTATATGGTGTATATTTGGAACTCAGTTCCTTCTCTGCCCAGTCATTCCTTTAAGACCTTCAGTGAGTCCATGGGATCACAGGACCCTAGATCTGGAGCTGGAAGAGACGACCTCAGAGGCCATCTACTTCCATCTCCCTCGTTTTACAGAGGGGAAATTGAAAACCAGAGAGGTCAAGTGACTTGTCTGAGAGTGCACAGCTAGTACATATCTAAGGCAGGATTTGAACCTGGGTTTTCCTGATTTTTCAATGCTGTGTCCCCTAGATCCTGCTGCCTTTCATTCTCTCATCTCACTAAACTACTCTCAAATCTCTAGAAATTCTAAGACTAAAGGTATAAGAAAGGGTTTGGGTTTTTTTTATGTTAAAGGAAAAATACCTTCCTCTAAATGGAAAGGTATCTTCTACTAAGTACCCAGTAGATCCTTATTGGCCTGAATGGAATTCTTTGGCTTCCTGTCTACATGATACTCTATCCTGAAGGTGTCACTTTCTTTACCCCAGCTTTGCCTCTTGCTGATATGAAAGGTTTGAAAGGATTTATACAGCAGCTTGGGTTATGAGATAGTAACAGATGCAAAAATCACCATTTCAGAACCAAAGATGATATAAATCTCCTGTAGGCATCCTATCATGGAAACAACTGAATCCAGTAATGCTCACTTATGCATCAGAGGTGGCCTAAGGTGACATGGTAGCTCTACCACTCTGTGGTTCTTGGAAAAAACACTCTGTCTACCAGAGTCTGATGGGAATGCATCATTTCCTCCTCACTTAGCTCGACATATCTGAGGATTACCATAGACATCAGTTCAGCAAGTAGTGTCATCAAAGAGTAAAAAGACAGACTGTGTATAAAACTTGGCTCTAGGGTGATCGTTTCCCAGAAAAGCTCCTTCTTTCTACAACTTCTGTGCTAAGGAAACAGAATAATGGAATGCCTGAGCCCAGTTGCCCTTTGCTGATAGTTGACCAGTCTCAAAACACCACAGAGCCATTGACAGTGAATCTGCTATGCTTAGAAAAGAGCTGATGTGAATTTTTCCCACTTAATAGTATTTTATTTTTTCTAATTATAAGTAAAGAAAGTTTTCAACATTCACGTCCATAAGATTTTGAATTCCAAATTTTTTCACACTTCTACTTCCCCTCTGTTCCCCAAGATGGCAAGCAATCTGATATAGATTATACATATGAAATTATATTAAATGTATTTTCACATTAGTCATGTTGTGAAAGAAGAATCAGAACAAAAGGAAAAACTACAAGAAAGAAAACAAAAAACAAAAAAAAAGTGAAAATAGTATACTTTGATCTGCATTCAGACTCCATAGTTCTTTCTTTGGATGTGGATAACATTTTCCTTCATGAGTCTTTTGGAATTGTCTTAGATGACTGTATTGGTGAGAAGAGCTAATAAGTAATTCCATTGCTATACAAACTATTTGGAAAAATAGGCGAGGAAGAAGTCCTACCGAATTCTTTTTATGACTCAAATATGGTGCTGATACCTAAACCAGGAAGAGCCAAAAGAGAAAGTGAAAATTATAGAGCAATATCCTTAATGGATATTGATGGAAACATTTTAAATAAAATATGAGCAAAGAGATTTCAGCAATTTATCACCAGGATAATACACTGTGACCAAGTGTTTTCTACATCTATTGAGATAATCATATAATTTCTGTTAGTTTTTTTATTGATGTGGTCAATTTTGCTGATAGTTTTCCTATTATTGAATCACCCTTGCATTCCTGGTAGAAATACCACCTGGTCATAGTGTATTATTCTCATGATAAATTGCTTTTCTCTCTTTGCTAATATTTTCTTTAAATTTTTAATCAATAATTATTAGTAAGATTGGTCTATACTTTTCTTTCTGTGTTTTTGCTTTTCCAGCACCATATTTGTGTCCTAAAAAGAACTTGGTAGGGCTCCTTCTTTACCTATTTTTCCAAATAGTTTATATAGTATTGGAATTAATTATTTTTTAAATGTTTGGTAGAATTTACTTGTAAATCCATCTGGCCCTGAAGCTTTTTTTTTTCCCTTAGGGAGTTCGTGGATGGCTTCTTCAATTTATTTTTCTAAAATGGGGTTATTTAAATATTTTATTTCCTCTTCCATTAATCTGGGCAATTTATGTTTTTGTAAATACTCATCCATTTCACTTAGATTGTCAGATCTGTTG